TCAAGTGCTGACGGTCGATTTGAGTCCTGACCTGTAGCCGATTTGAAATTCGTGGCTGTACTGAATTGTTATCTAATATTTCACCAAAAACAAAATACTTCGTTATGAGATAACGCTGATAATTTTTTTCATGTCGAAATGCCATATGTTACGTTTTTGTGCTTTCTATCAAGAGCAATGCGTAATTGTTTGATTTTAACCAATCATTCCGATTTATACTGTTATAACCAATCGTGCAGTCGGTTTTATTCAGTAAAACATGGTAAATTTATTGGATTAAATGAATCATTGTTACTTCGATTGATATGTATTCATCTAAATCCATCAAAATATACAGGTTTTCGAATTTCCAAAGAATATACGAGGGGGGGGTCTCATTAACTCTAAGAGACCCGACGCATCTTTAACCTTTTGAGTGGCAAATTAATTAATTTCGAAAAATCTTCAAAAATGTTTAGCTTGGTACTTGAGGAACACCCATGCGATTTTTTATGTTCAAACATTTTTTTTTTCTGAAAATACGCTGAGCAAATGGTCACAAGAGGTCATATCATCATCATCCAACATCATCACAGTATTCTTTTCTCTTTTCCTCTCAAATACCATCCAGTTGTTTTTCATCTCTGATACTCTGATGATAGCTCGTTCGAGCCTGAGTCAGAAAATACAGGTATAAAAAACATGAATCATAAATTTTTTTTATGTTTGTATATATTTTGATTCGAGTTCCTTTCCGAACACATTCAGGTTACGTTAGGTCTTCACTATAGCTCAGATACTAAATACATTTCAAATTAATCCAAACTCCCATAATACCAGAAATCTTGAACAATGCTGATATAGGAAAAGTTATAATTCTTCTGATTTTTTTTTAAATTTTCATTCCTGAGTAAAATTTCGTTATCACTATAATGAAAACAAATAAATATTATTCAGGATCGAGCAACCATCCATATCAAAATGAATCTTACCTATAGGTCTCGCTATAGGTATTATATGAAATTTCAACACAATCGGTTCAGCCTTTTAGAAGTTATGTGAAAAGATGAGTACAGAAGGATAATAATTCTAACTATCCGTTGTCCAATTACCAGTTTTCCAGAAGGAATGAAGCATTTTCCTGTCTCAAAAAATAGACTATGTTTATCAGGGATAAATCAGGGATAATGTCAGCATCTAATGGTGAAACAATTGTTCAAATCGGTCCAGTAGTTTCCGAGCCTATTCAATAAAAACAATCAAATATTTCCTCTTTATAATATCAGAATAGGTTATAGTGTATCTAGTTTCGGCTCAACGGCCATCTTCAGACACATTACAACACCTGTGAGAAGCTGAGAAGCATGACAATATTACAAAGGAAACAAGTTGCTGAGGAAAATCCTGTCTTTTTGTAAGCCATGTGGAAATCAAATTTTTAAAAAGTCCGGGGGCATACACTCAAAAAATCAATCCGGTGAGGAAAACTGAAGTAGGTACTGTGAAGCGGGCTGTGGAGGTTAATCGAGGAGGTGGAACATCCATTTTACTCGTTTCTATAAATAAATATATGAGTATTATTTCAATATAGAGACGAAACCTGTGACAAATTCACGAAAAAAATCAGATGATTTACCCCAAATGCCAATTGCCAGTGCGTTTAAAAATGTCCCTATTAGAAAGTCTAGAAGGAAAATTCAATCGATTGTCACTGACACTTTGTTCGGAAAAATATTCAAAAAAGAGATATATAGATACAGATACATAGATATATCTACAAAAATGTCCATAGTTCAATTGACAAGAAAATATTTTCCATTTTTATTAGTTGTGTTCGTTCCCAAAGCGTCCAAAGCTAAGTGAAAATTGATATTTTTGAAATAAAACTAATATTTTTATTTTGTAGAAACGAGGAGAGAAAATCCCAAGAAAATCTGGTTAATCATCATTCGTCTGGTCAACATACTGTATGTTGCCATTCTTTTTGGTATTTTTCATTTAGGTACCCCCGAGGTACCCCTTTCTTCACTAAGAAAGACGTGGTCCTGCCTGAGCAGTAATTACCGAGGTAATTACTAGGGGTGGGCAAACTTATCGACATATCGATAAAAAATCAGATAAAATATTATCGATCTATCGATAATATAGATTTATCGATAACATAGATTTATCGATAATATCGATAAGATCGATTAGTATCCATAACATTTTCGATAATTTTCGAAATATCCGTTGATTGTTAATTACTGTTATCGTCCGCTCCTATAGTATAGGGAAACGTTGACCTTCGCTTTCATTGGTTAATATCGGAGGCAATATTACACTTTCCTAATATTATGACTTATGACGTGGCGTAACGGTTGAAGTTTTCTTGATGGAAAGATGTACACATAATAAAATTCCAATTATTTTTCGTATACATTCAAATTTTACCATCATTTTGCATAAGGAGCCATATATTTAGTTTGTCAGTGTAAACATTCCTTCAGAAGAAGCGCTTCCTACTATCTTCTCATTTGGGATTGTGGTATATCAGTATATAGTTCGCTTTCTACCCCCCCCCCCCCCTTAGCACGCCAATGGTACTTAAATATCGACAATATCGATAGTATCGATAATTCATAAAAAATTAATATATTATTACTAATATAATTGAATTATCAATTTCTTCACGTACTACAACATGCGAGAATACACGAATTACATATACAATGAAAAATAATTATTTTGAGTAACGATTTTCGGTTCAAACTTCGGAGCTGCTGAAAAACATCTGGTTCTCAATTTTGTGTAGAAGGTCCTGCCCGAGGCTACACTGAATTCTACAAAGAAACAAACACGAACACGATCCATTTCAATATCTAAATTTACACCTCCCTTTGAAGAAAACGACTCATAAAACGAGAATACCTACAAGAGTTAGAACAAGAACATATTATTCTGGAGGACGTTTGAGCTAAAAATAATATGAGTGGGAATATAAGTCTTAGGTCATAGACGGCTGTATTCAAAAGAAAGCAAGATTTTTTGGCATAGGTAAGCTCGGGCAAGGGTATAGGCTCGAGTATAGGTAATATCCGGTAATATCACAGGTAATATCTTGATATACAGGGTGTTTCTTAATGACATGGTAATATTCAAGGGGGCGATACATTGACCAATTTCAAGAACAAAACTTTATATGAACGAATGTCCTAACTTTCGAGAAACAGGGTATCAAAGTTTGAAGTCTGATCTCGTTTTTCCGTTTTCTCTCGGAAAAGGAGCGTCCTATCGGGTATCAACGAGAGGATCTTTTTTGCACAAAATTGAATGACTTTTCATAGCATTGTATGGAATTTGGAAATATTTTTTCGTTGTTCACTTTTAAGTAGAATATAAACAATCAAATCCCCCTAACGGCGCCACTGGTGAGAAAGTGAAAATTTGTACACATGAAAAAATGCACCTTGATGGATAGAAGATATGTACCAAATTTCATAAAGATGTCTACAATATTATCCCAGTTATTATTAAAAAACTGATTCATTATCAAAACTTCATCACCCTATATCTCGAAAGTTAAGATTTTTTGGACATACGTTAGAGGGAAGTTTATTTCTCAAAATTTCCGCAAGTACATCCGAGGGTACTCGCATCCAAGTACATATATAATACATAATATTTGGAATGAGTACATAATATACAGGTTGTTTCTAAATTCACTACAAAGATTTCATGGGCATATTATTTATGAGAACATGTCGCGGTTGGTTTGTGTAGAAGCAGACACGTTCATGTGCAGCATGTTCTCTGAACAGGAGTGTACCTACCTTTTTCCATGGAGAAGATGATTCTGAAGAGGATTGTGTAATTTTTTTTTGCATAACTTACAACTACTCAAAATTTGTACTGTACAGTGAGGAAACCTCGGAGGAACCCTATGATAAAATAAAATAGTATCTCCATGAAAAAAAAAAACTATATTTTGAAAAATCTGTAGGAATTCGACAGGTGGTTGAAATTTTGTATGTGACAAATAAAAATCGACCTGTTGAAGGATTTTTCAAAATATATTTTAGATATTTTCATTCCAATATAGGTTTCCACACTTTTGGTTATAATTTTGGCTGGAAGTTTGGCAACCTACCAAGGACATTCATCACCACATTATTGATGCCAATATCACCACTAAAATGAGGCGTGGCTAAAATAGGTAATTGGACAAAATTGGAGACAGAACAGATTAATAATAAGCAGAAATGGATAACACACAAAAATGATTAGTGGTAAGAAGATAAATAATAATTATGATGAATCCTTACATTTACAAATTATTGAATGTTAAGTTCTGGAAACATACCTACCAAGTTGCAAAATAAAAGACTACTTACCAATTTTTCAGTTACTATTTGCCTTGCTATTTGCATATTTGCACGTTCATTCTTTTAGATTCTGACAAGTAGGTATGATGAATTGATGAACAAGGTAATTAATATTACATACCTATTATCAAGTTGGGATTATCATTTTTATAGTAATGTTATCGAATTTTATGTTTTATCCAATAATTCAATGATAAAAACAGAAAGAATTTAGATTTCCAGCACTTTCCATGCCACATTTACCTTCAAACATTTTACATGATTCAACAGTCAAGAGACATAGTTTATTATGAGTTTATTAGGACCAAATCAGTGTTTTTCGGCCAATGTGGTTTTTGAACACCAATTCCCATTGATTTCCATATAAAATTTCCCCTCGAATTTCCCCAATTCCTCCTAAACTCTCACAATTTCCCTTGAATCAAATACACCAAAATTCTTATCTGTAATTCCCCTTGGTGTTTTATTAAAAATAAAGCAATAGGATAGGTAATACCTACCTCACCTACAAATGGATAGCAAGTTGAGAGAACTATTAAAATCAAGATTTCCTGACAAGAACCAAGAACAAAAAGAAAGCGATTACCAACGTGAAATTTTCGCAATTAGAGCATACTGTTGAGAGAAATAACGGGATTTTTCTTTCACAAGAACTGGTCATATGGACGATGGCATCGTAGGCGTCGGTGGCGCCTCTGCTGACTCCTCGGACTCTGTCCCACTTGCCCCAGAGGCAGGTGCACCTATGGGTGCACCTCCACAGGGCCAGAGTGACTGACTTTGACAAGCAAGTGTGAGAGTAGAGGCGAGAGTGCACCAAGTGCAAGAGAATTCGTCACTGGGCGAAAGTTTGGAGAAATCCTCGTTGGAAATGACATCGATCGTGATCGCCCCACAGCCAACTAGGATTTCGAATGACATAGAAATGGAAAAAGCAGCTCGCAGCCATATTGACTACGCAAGTGATCTTTCAGAGGACGTAACAGAGAGGAGAACACTTACTGCTGATTTTCATGCCTCCTAGAGGTGGATTCAGAGGTTGTTTGTTGCCCTCGGCGAAGGAGGTAGTTCTAGGACGTCCGCTCATCTCTTCTTTTTCGAAAGATTTTCGATTATTTCGTAGACCTATCACATTTCTTGCTGACACCCTCTTCCGATCGAGTGATCCCTGTCTTTTTTCACACTTCTATTGTCATTTGTAATGTTTGTGCGCGCACCAGATACACCCTATTAATTTTCCCGTTCCTTTACACTGACAATCAACACATACACATCATTTTTGTTCGTCGAATTTCTCCGTTAAACCATTTTTTTACTTGCAACGGGCTTCACCTCGCTATTAATTTTCTGAAGCTCAGACATTGACCTGATCGGATTCAATCGGGACCAATCACATTGGCTAATGGCCGTCCGAAGATGAACGAAGCGATTGTAGAGCAGCACACTCGATAATCATTTAGTGGCGGGTGGCGTCATCTTACGAAGACTACGTCAAGCTAGGGGCTCGGAAGACATCTATCTCGGAACGGAAGATTTCCGAAGCAAGGAAGCCCCAAAAATGCGGATCACCTGATTCGTAATGCAGTGACAGAGCAGAGTCACTGTAATCTGTAATTTGTAGAAAGAGAGAGACCTAATGCGCATTATTGGTTGCCTAAATTCAGTCATTGAATTATTTGCAAGCATACAGGTTTCCACCAAATATTTTTAAATTATATCTAATAATAATAATAATAATAATAATATTTAATGCTGATAATTTATTGACGATATAATGACAAATGAGGATTCATTATAACTATATTATTGACCCAGAGATCACGACCATATATTAATTCTGTAACTCATTCTTCGAGAGCGGGAAGCTCGAGAAGTATTTGCTTGGATTATTCACGAGGGAATGTGTTTACATATATCATACCTACGAATATAAACTAGTAATAATTACCTGTCGAAGAAAGGAAAGTTTTGTAGATTGACTAGTGAAGAATATACTTTTTTTTCATAGCAGATATAAAATTATCTGTTATCCACATTTCACCAAAGGATGTGGTAATGTCTAAATAAACGATTTATTGTACGCAAATGTACCAGTAGCTATGCCGCTTTTTTGTTTAAAACATAGGGTATACAAACTTTCGTTTATATTGACGTAAATTGATGCCAGTCTAAATTTAGTCGATATTGCATACAGATACTTAGTACCTACTTGAGATTCTAGTAGCAGTTCCAGTCGAGAAGGAAAAATAGAGAAAAATGTGGAGATTTCTGTTTTTCGCTGTTTTTGTGAACGGTGGTGCATTTGGGTGCAAATGGGTTTGCATTGATAATAAAAATCATATAATAAAGGAATACATCGATAGTAGCAAGTTCAAGCTAGATTTTCCGAAAAATGAGATTAAAGTGCCTGATTCATCTGTGCAAAAAGCAGAGAACAACAGACGTAAAGCCTCCGAAATTATACCAGGTAATTACTTAAACTACATTCACCGGCAAAAAAAAACGACCATCAAGAAAATTTGCCCAAATTGTTCACCCTGTAACTTTTTTAATACTCGTCGTTGTGAAATAGTTATACATTTTATATAATCGTGTCAAGAAGGGACGAAATTGGACCACACTTCAATTCTAAACATGATTAAGCAGAATGTTGGAGAATGGTTCTGAATTATTGTTAATAAAAATCGAAAAATCCATACTTTCTTGAAACCCTAATATCTTCTCTTAAAAAGTGGTTATCAACGTGAATCAAAAACCATTGTGTTGAGAAGGGATCACACATCAATCGAAAACATGATGAAGCTAAGTTTGATCACTCATCTCTGCCACAGGTAAATAAATGTAATAAAAATTGACACTGACATTGGGTGAACACGAGAAGATGGAATCCATCAATTTGTGTTCACCCAAAGTCATTGTCAATTTTGATTACCAATACGGGCAATACGATTCAACTTATTACTTGGAAACGTTGCATAGCAATAATTCTTTCTGCTTACATCTTTTCTGTCAAGGCAGTAAAGGTACTTACACCTTTTCTGCCTGTTAAATGTCATTGAAATGTCACTATGGAGAAAAACATTTAGACTAGTTTGAACATTTTTTTCAGAGGTGTCTCTTCGAATGCCCGAATTTGTTGTGGAGCCTACTAAAGGTAAAACGAGAAAGAAAAATAAAGGTACCTATATTCATAGCACTCGATATATCTACAATTATAATTCTAATAATGTATTGAAAAATCAGAAATTATGCAGATTTTTTACAATTCATATGGTTATCAGATACCATTTTGCCTTGCGCTTCATTTAGTGGGAAAAGCAATATATGTATACAGTTTAATTTTCTGAAAATTATACGTATAAACCTAGGTGTATTTCAGCACGAAAATATAACTTGAGAGGTAATAAAATAGGTATTTTGCAGTAAATGTACACATAAATGAGTAAAAATAGATTCCAAACTATATTAATTTTTTCTTGAAATTCATAACTGCCAACAAAATATTATTTTTGGAAGGTACGAATACGATCTTGAATTAATGTTTTGCTGTTCTTGTGAATATCAGTCACGTTTATACCTAATCAAGAAAGTACTTCATTAATTGTTTTCTGTGCTTTTCTTAGTTTTTTATTAAATTCACAGAACTGACCTGTAACTCCAAACAATTCAAAACAACAATGAAAGAAATGACGAAAAAAATTAAATGTAGACCAAGGGACACCATCGTGGACATCAAATACAAGGGAAGTAAGGTAATTATAAAAATATTGACAGAAATAACCGACTTTATTCCAGGATAGCACGAATATTCTCAGATTTCTCAGATTATTCTTACCGGCTGCGGAAATGTCATTTTGTACAATATTCTAAGATTTCTAAGGAATATTCATAGAACGTCCTCAGAATACATTTATGGAATGTTCCATGGGAATATCCTGAAAACATTATGAAAGTACATTCCTAGAAGCTCCTGGGATATAATATTCCAGAACATTCATAAATAGTTATTTGTTTCACTAGGCAGAAAAGTAGTTGATTGACTGCCGCGGCTGATAGTTCATAGCCGAGCGTAGTCAATCTAAATTTGCTGCCATGTAAAACATATTTTTTCTCCAAATGTTATAAAACCAATTTTGTGTATTTTTTTTTATGGAAATCTCCATCATTTCGTGTTCACCCAATGTAAGTGTCAATTTTGATTACTAATTTCATTAGAATTTTTTGGAACGTTGCATAGCAGCAAACTTTTTCTGCCTAGGCAGTGAAAGTACACCTTTTCTGCCCCATAAGCGGCAGGAAAAAGCCACTATCCCTGCTGCTTGGAGAAAAATAATATTTTCAGAATATCGTGAACATTCATGAAATATTCCTTGCCAATATCCTGATGATATTCTTAAAATACGTTCCTATGAGCTTCTGAAATGGATAATTCTAGAATGGCAACATTCAAAATACATTCATTTCAGAATTTCCTGATAGAATCCCCTTAGATCATAGAATATTTTCATCATGTAACCAACAATATTCTATGAATATTCCAGGATGTTTATGGAATTATAATATTTATGTTATTATTCTTGTATTAATATACAAAGTTTTCCCCTGACCCAACCTATTATAGAGGGTCTGTCTGCGTATTGATGCTTATTATTAGCGAATTATCCTACTAATGAACTGTTGATATCTTGTCATTCATATAATTCATTTAAAAGGTTCATAGCTTCGTGGTAAAGGTGTTAGTTTTGTAATTATATATAATCACAAGAGAGTAGGTTCGCAGCCCCACTGTGGAGCAAGCTTTGTTTTGATTCCCTCCCCATAATAAACCGTTCGTTTTGAATATTCATAGAACGTCCCTAGAATATTGGTATAATATTCCGAGAATATTTATAGAATGTGAAATTCAGTCCACTTTGGATGTTATGTACATATAATGTGCATAAAATGTTCGAAGTGTATTGTGGAAATATTCTGAGAACATTCAAATGTTCCATCATATATATGTTTCTATGAATATTATATGAATTTACTTGTGCTATCTGCGTTCTTTATGTCTCCATAAAGATGTAGTGAAATTCGACCGACAATACGCGTTGATTAAGTATATACCGGGTGGCTACGGAAGTATTGCCTACGGAATATCTCAGTTATTGTATGAAGTAGGTTTGTGAAATTTGGAGCGTCGATATAATGACATAAGAGCTAGAATTTGAGCATATTGACATGTCCAAGTTAACTTCCGGTCTGACCGGAAGTAACATCAACTTTTTTATTTCAAATGGAAACCCTATATTTTTTTTTCATTTCGCTTCATTCAGCATTCAATTTCCATTTTAATGACATATCACAAGTTGGTATCTAACCAGAAACTGGACCAGAAAAAAATTATTATTGAAATTTACCGAGTAGGCCGTAGAAGCAAAATGAAAGCCAAAAATTGAAAAGTTGGCTATGGAAACCATACCAATGGTTATGCTGAATAGTACAGGCAAGAAAAAGTTGTATGTTCCTATTTAAGTTATGGACCTACAGAGTATTCTTTTTTTTCCCAATGTTTCCAATATATTTCTTGGCGGCTTTTTATAACGCCGACGAATGAAAATAAAATATCACAGTAGTATCAACTGTTATCAAGTGACGTATGGTTTCCATAGCCAACTTTTCAATTTTTGGCTTTCATTTTGCTTCCACGGCCTACTCGGTGAATTTCAATAATAATTTTTTTCTGATCTAGTTTCTGGTTAGATACCAACTTGTGATATGTCATTAGAAAGGGAATTGAATGCTGAATGAAGCGAAAAGACAAAAAAATAGGGTTTCCATTTGAAATAGGAAAGTTGATGTTACTTCCGGTCAGACCGGAAGTTAACTTGGACATGTCAATATGCTCAAATTATAGCTCTTATGTCATTATATCGACGCTCCAAATTTCACAAACCTACTTTCATACAATAACTGAGATATTCCGTAGGCAATACTTCCGTAGCCACCCGGTATAGCAAGATATAAGATTCTCAAGTTCTTAGTTTCAAAGACAACTACAAGATGTTGAAGTTGATAAACAAAAATCATCACTTTGTCGTGAAGCGTTGTCAGTTGAATATCGCAACACCCTGTGTATAGATAAGCGATTTACTTAACATGAAAATTGAATATTGTTTGAAGAACACGCGGAAAGATAGTCATTTACCACGAGAATGAAGTTTGCAGCATTCCCCTACCGCTGCCAACTTCATTCTCGTGGAAAATTAGCATTCCGTGCGAGTAATACACTATACTTTTTCTACGGCTGTAACAGATAACAGCGAAATTCTTGATTTCTTCGGCTTGTAGCCATCTGATTTTCTCATAAGTAATGCTCAGCATCTATCAGATATAGCTGTCATTACTTGAAATTTGACATTTCATGGGAGATGGGATTTTGTGATATCCGTTACGGAAATAAAATTGATCACATACAGATAATTCATTATTTGTATCTAACACCAATTTTTTTCTACGGCTATAACACAAAATTACTTTTGTTTTACTGTGTTTGATAAATCAATGGGGTAGGTAATATGTATATGTCATCAATTTTACTTTCGTATCTGATATATCACAATGACTTCGTTTCGTGATATCATTTCACAAAATCTCATTTTTTATGAAATGGCTACAAGCCGAAGAAATCAAATATTCGCCGTAGAAAAAGTATAGTGTATAACTAGCACGGAATTTCTAACTCGTATATGATTTGCAGCAAGAGCCGTTTTCTTGTGGGAAACGACTATTTTTTTATCAGAAAGACGTTTCGAGAATTTTATACTGAGGTGCGCTACAGGGGGTTGTGATAACTTTTCCTCTCATATTTCCTACGCCACTGATGAAATTTCGATTATTTTCAATTTCTCGAATTGATTGTTCAATTATGTTGAAAAAATACATCACCTTCATCTGAGCTAAAATAAACAGTTTTCGAGATATTTGACCCAAAATAAGAGTTTGCATAGTAATTTTTCATCTTCCTCATTAGTAGAAAATTACAAAAAAGTTTGTTTTCTCTTTTTGCGTGAAATAACTATTTTGTTCAGCTACAGAATGAAATCTGAATAGTATCTAATCTACTCAACTACTACTGAAATTGATGATATATTACTGTGCAATCTTCTATTTTGGGTCGAATATCTCGAAAACTGTTTATTTCAGCTAAGTTGAAGGTGATGCATTCTGTGAACAAAATTGAATAATGAATTCGAAGAATTGGAAATAATCGAAATTCAATCAGTGGCGTAGAAAATATGAGAGGAAACGTTACCACAGACTTTTTGGTCAAAAAATGACCCAGTCGAAGATGAAACCATATACCGACTTTGAATGCATTATATTCAATTATTCTTGAGATATTGCGAAACAACTATTTTTATTTCTTAACTTTAACGCCCTGTATCTCGATAACTGAACACTTGAAGACCGTATGTCCCTATCTCAGTGATTAAGAAATCACGAGGGCTATCACCTGTCAAGCGTTGTCGGTCGAATTTCGCAACACCCTGTATATTATGAGAATAAATCTGATCTGAAGTAATTTTTTAGGTCTTGCCGAACAAAGTCAGCACGAAATTATGTTCGGGGGTATGTTCAGGAACAAAAACCTGTATGGCAGTCGAGAGTAAGAACGTCTCTTTGACAGTTTCCATCCAGGATTCCAGTAGCAGATTCAAATGCTCCAACGTCATGATTCCGGAACACACCAAATGTCGGTGTGGCTGTGACAAAACTTCTACAGATTGCTCACCGAGTCAAATTTTCGATAAAAAGTTTTGCAAATGCAAGTGCAAAAACGATGTAAGTATGAACGGTTGTACAGTGTGTATCTGCCAAACAGAATAAATTCGATTATGAATAAACGGGCCAGAGGCGGATCCAGGGGGGGCATAGTGGCCATGCCCCCCCTCCTCGCGAACCTTATGAATGAATATGTTAAAATGTAGGTATATAGGTATATACACCACAAAGAAATTTCCTTAAAGCTATTCCCCGCGACCCACATTGAATATCAAATAACAGTAATTTTGAGAGAACTTTCTTAATTTTTTCTTTTTTTTTATCCAATATCAAGTATTAAAGGAATCTACATACAGACTGATTGATAAAAAACGCCACAAGTCATAGTGCTGCTATAATGATCCGATTTTGGAACAAAAAAGCTAATACAATCTCTCATCAAATAATTATAAGGCTCTGATCATATTTTTTTCAAATTCACAGTAACGTCAGCGACTTTCAACTTTATTTTCAAATGTCGCCATGCTCAATTTTCTATTTTAATGTTTTTCTGATTTGGAATTAATTCGGAATACAGATGTCTTTTGAACAGAATTAGTTGAAATAAAAAATAAATGCTCAGTTGACCAAAAAATAATATTTTCATAAAATTCTGGAATGCATCCGAGAATGTATCATTGAATGTGAGAGTAAATATCACTGATATGAGTGTCACTGTTTCATTTGTCATATATTACAACACCTCATATATTTATGATGAAGCACAGACGTTCATTTCATTGACATTATATACTTCCACATTCAACGATACATCTCAAAATTCAATGAAAATATGTATCTATTTTTGTCAATTGAGAATTTATTTTTTATTGCAACTTTTGTTGAAAATCAACTTGTCTTTCTCATATTTCATTGTATTCAGACATAGATATTCAGATAAAAATCAGTTGAAATTTGTAAAAATAATGATCAGTGCCTTTTGATAATAGTTATTTCATTCGCATTTCGTTTTTTGAAATCGGATAGTTATAATTGCTGTGCTTTGGGCGTTTTTTTGTCAGTTATCCTGTATATTGATGAAATATAAAATAATTAATAATAAAAAACATTTTTTTCAGAAGGTAGGTACCTACCAATTTACTTATTTACCACGGGAAAAGGTGAGTAGTTTTTTTCCCGGATATTCAGGGTGTATCTCAAAGTGAGGCTTTTTATTTAACAGGGTATATATCTCGCCAAAATAAGTTGTTTGGCCTGTTGCTTTATGTTCCTCCTAAAGTATTTCGTTCACTTTGAAACTGAGATTAATAGGTTGAAAATGTAAAAAGAGGTTTCTGATTCATTTGTCTGATGAAATAATGCAACTGTAGGCTATCTAATGCTGGACTGATAACGGCTTTTTTACGTTTTTTTCGAGAAATTGTAAACAAAATGTTTTATAGTTGGTCTAATTTAAACATTTACCTGTACCTCCGTTATCTTAAACATTTTGTTTGAGCATTTTTTTACCAAACCACTTATTTGGGTGAGATATATGTCCTGTTGACGAAAACTCACTTTCAGATTCGCCCTGTATATATATATATATATATATATATACACTGTTGATGTCTTTTGTTGTCCTAGTTCCGAAAAATAAGGCAATAACACTGTCTCCAACAAAGAACTGTAAAGTCGGTTTTCTTCCATTCCACTTTGCGGTTACGTAAATTACTGAACAACCACAACAACAAGTTCGCAATTTTTGAAAATCGAATCACACAATTATTCTGACACACATTCGATTACTTCAAAACAATGATGAATATGCCTGCAACACAGATGTAACTCCTGTTGAAAACTTCAAGGAGGTATAGGTATTGCATTTTTTTATCTTTTGGAGGTTATAAGTTCTTGGGAATTCTTTCAAATTTCACATCAATAATTTTCTGGTTTTAATATAATGTCATATCTTCTCAAGATTGGTTCGTCCCTTTTCCTGTCACAGAAAAAAATAGTGTATTATACACGAAAAAAAATTTGATTTCAGCTCACGGTTTTCTTGTCTCCCTCCGCTACAACACAACCTCGAGCTGAAATCTACTTTTTTCCCTTGTATAATGAATAAATATTTTTATCTTGGACACCCTATATCTCAGAAACGACGCATTTTCGGACCCATGTTCATATGAACTTATTTTCATTTTCATATTTTGTTGAGAGAAATCTCCCCTAGGCTTTTGTCGCCACAAATCTGAAACACCCTGTATAGTTAGAAAACGCATTTTTTGTAATTAGGCATGTTTTGCTGGATCTCGGTCCGCTCGTCCCGCAAAATCCCATCGTCACTCAAAATATGACGAGTTTCCTATAACTAATCATCCTTTGGTGAATCTCGGAAACACTGTTGACGTCAGTTTTGGAGTCCAGGATATCAGAAATATGTTTATTTTTTTTGTTTTCTAGAATGATTACCAAATGTGCATGGAGAATATATCGAGCAACTTCAACAAGTACGTGTGGAATAAAATAACATGTTCTTGTGATTGCAAAGTCGAGTATGTTTGTACAACAGGAACTGATTGGGACAGAAACGAATGTAAATGTATTCGTACTAATAAAAATAAACTTAAATAAAATTATGTACTTGTACTCTGTATAATCTGTCTCCACACTCCCAAGTGTCTGTAATAATGCAATAAAGATTTTATCTACTCACTGCACGACAAAAACCTATCAATTTACTCCCACGGGAGGAAAAGAGATATAACTTCCCATCCCAGATAACACAGGATATCCTATGGATATCCTCTTCATGTCCAATTCTGGTCGAGATATCCCTGGATTTGAAATGGACATCCATGAGATATCCATTTCAGGATTTGAAATGGATATCCTTCAGTTGATATCTTAATGATAATCATAAGATATCCACAGCAATTATGAATGTGTTCAATTTGCAAGATTGATTTTGATAGTATCAATTTCTGAGTTTCTTTTGTGTCCGAGCATGGATAGGTCCTTTTGGAAATAGATCTGATTCTTCGTTTTCCTACTGGATTTGAAATGGACATCCATGAGATATCCATCGAAGGATTTGAAATGGATATCTTTTAGTGGATATCTTATGGGTATCCATGAGATATTCACAGCAATTACGAATGAGTTCAATCCGCAAGATTGTTTTTCATAGTGTCAATTTCTGAGCTTCTTTGTGTCCGAACATGGATTTGATCTTTTGGAAATAGATCTGATTCTTCGTTTTCCTACTGGATTTGAAATTGACATCCATGAGATATCCATCGGAGGATTTGAAATGGATATCCTCCAGTGGATATCTTATGAATATCCATGAGATATTCACAGCAATTACGAATGAGTTCAATTCGCAAGACTGATTTTGATAGTATCAATTTCTGAGTTTCTTTTGTGTCCAAACAATGGATGATACACATTGAGGTATGGTGATAACATCATCACCTTGATGTGTATCATCCTGTATAATGAAATTTTTTCTCAAAATGTTTTTGATTTGATTGTCTTTATTACCCCAAGAGACATTACTGTTCATCAATATAAAGTCAACATCCCAATTAAAAAGAACATACAAATTAAAACTTGACGTGTTTCAGATTTTTTAAAGGCTTTTCATTTAGGAAATAACGAATTTATTCCATATACTTTATGGACACAGTACATAATAGATCTTTTGGATATTCCTCAATGATATCTTATGGATATCCATAGAAGATATATATCTTGTAGATATCTGTGAACAATATCTTCTGGACATCCTTTTGGATGGATGAACAAACTCTTATGGATAGTCCTGAACGATATCGTATGGATATCCCAGAAGGATATCTTATGGAAGTCCAGCTTCGTCCACTCGTACCATCCATCGTATGTCCATAAAATATCCACCGGATATCAACGGATGTCCTTTGGATATCCTCAATATCCGAAATGAATGTCCAGTGGATATCCATCGAATGTCCGTGTGTTGACTGGGATAGAAGGTAATATGAATTGGATTCAGCTTGCTTCTTTGGTAGAGATATACGTAAGTATATAAGATTTGTCGTGCTACCCAGGTACCTAATTAGTGTCTCCATCACTATAAAGGATGTATATCTGAAGTCCTGATGTCAATGTATACCACCGATGGATCTCCTTCAGGACACTTTCCGAATCGTATTCAGGACATTCTGAGGTCGTCCTTGGGACGTCCATAAGACGTTGAACTCATGACTCATGACATCTTATGGAATTATATTCCCTGAAGAATATTCTTGTACTTATTACTCAGATATATGAACATACGGATTATCTATAGGAGTTCCTTCCGAAGTCATAACAGTTCATGTACCAATTGGAACATCAGACGGATGTCCCTGAAGGAATTTTCGAATGTTATTCGATCCTGGAAATATTAAGGGCGTCTGTGCAAAAATATTCGAAGAAATTCACCGTCTGGGATATTTTATGTTTTTTTTTATCGATTGGAGCGCACGAAAGGGAATCCCTATAATGTTCAAAGAACATCGTGCGTTCCTAGGGAGGATAGGGACAGGAGGTAGGTATTGGAATTTTTTTTGAATTTTTGGAGATTATATGTTGTTGGGAATACTTCCACAGGCAATGAAGGGACATAATATAGGATCTGAAGTCATGACAGGAAATTTACTACTAATGGACTACATGGATATTTTACATAATATGTACAACGCGGGACGTCTGAACGATGCTATTTCTAGGACATTTGAAATGATGTACCAGTTGGGACATTCCATGGACGTCCTTGCTCAAACATTGCATGAGTTGTACGTGATGTGACGTCCCAAGGACTATTATTTCAGTTCGTGGACATACGGACTTGGATTGTACCAAATAGGGACATCCCGAGGACGTTGCGTGCTATTAGGGTACTATAAAAGAAATAAAAATTTCCTGCGTTTTAAAAACTAATTTAAAATGATATCACAGTGACTACGACAAGAGTGTCGAATTGATTTTTGTTCAGATTCAAATCAAATACCGTCAATCATATGTCAATAATCGGATAAAATCATATATAAATCTTGAGAGCAAAGGTTAATTTCCTCCCATGTGTGTTTAATGTTCAATCAAACTTCACACGCAGGAGGAAATGAATACCTTTGCTCCTTTGATATATAAATTGCTATTTTCTGAAACCACCCACCAGTCAACAAAGTTGACATTTTCAAACCAGAGTAGAGGTAATCAAGGAAACTCACTGCTTTTTTTATTCGTAAACAATATTTACATTACATTGGACATGTTTCAACGATAAATGGTCAAAATGTCGACCTGTACCATTTAGAGGATTTTATTTTCTACAAATGTCAAAAAATGACAATTTTACAACAACAATATGCAAAGTAACACCTTTTTCAGTTCCCTGTGTTACCATGACACCTTGTACAAGACAATGTGCGAAGTAAAACAGTGCTTGAAATACATACTTCGCACACTGCATGTACCATATGGGATTTTTGTATTTGAACCTTTATGGTCTCCAATCAATCAAAAATCCATGGACTCATTAATTTCCAAATGCTTTTCAAGCCAGTTCAAACATATATTAGCACTGCTCGGTATAGGGTTGACAGAACAAAATCAGTCCCTCTGAAACCTTCCACCTTTATTAACACTTAACACAATGTATTCTTTACAACGCTTCAAATGAGAATGAATCAACCTAAATGCCTCCTGATCGGATACAGTCATTTCTAGATAGGTGACTAAACCTTATGTAACCACTAACTGTAGCTCTGTAGCTCATGGAACCTAACTGTAGCTCTGTGCTTCTAATGGTACAGGGCTAGTCGCTAACACATATTTTTTATATCAAGCTAAGCACAATTTGTTTGAAACTCGCATGCGAAATACTTTGGTCATCTGAGCTAATTTCTCAACTCGGCTGCGCCTCGTTAAAAAATCAGCTCTCGATTGCTCAAGTAGCATTTCCCGCAGTAGATATAGAAATAACTATTGAAAATTCACGCTAAGTGTAGTCACTAGTCAATGACAAAAGACACATAGTTGTATTCACATAATTCAGAATGACATTTTTAGTTAAGAAAGTGAAGAATATTTAAGGTAGGTAGATATAAAATTTGGTCTCAAATTCCATTTCTCTCGGAAAATAAAAATGCTTTAGCAGTGATTCAGCACCTGGGACTCCTGCTATAATATTTTGTAGTTCTGCAACATCTCCATCCTTGGGGAAAAAAGGTGAAATAAAGAATACCTTGCTTCTCATACATTTATTTATTGAGAAATGGGTGACCAGAACAACTGATAGGGTATACAGACATGAGGAAAACAATAAGCATGATTTTGGATAGTATATAAAAGGCACCTAGAAGGCATAATCTTAGGGGAAATAATACCTGGGGGCGTCTATATCTTTCACATTACTCAAATTACGTGAATTAGGAATCAACTATGTTGGGTTACGATTAGGAATTAAGTAAAAATAAATAGAAATAACGTTAACTTTGGCTACAAATTAAAAATTATTTTAAGGCTCTACGAGCTGAAAGAATATATTACTCATAATTCATTGATAAAATTTCAAAATCACTTATCACTAAGTAAAACATAACACTAAACAATATAAAAATAGTAGGTACTACGTCGTTTTTGTAAAATAAAGTAAAAACGTTTTGAAGATTTTGCAACTACAGAAATGCTTTGTATATGTTTAAATATTTCGTTTGTATAGGATAGTGCAATGGAAAAATATTCAGAAAATTAATGATATATGATGATAATAATACCAGAGCAAATCTACCATACCCAATTACATAATATATGGTATTTGAGAATTGATATTGTTGATATTTTTTTATTGCAGCAGTGTTCATACATTTTTCTCAAATTTTCAATCAATGAACAATAAAGAAAAGTTATTCCGCAGATTATCATGAGCCAATGGAAGTATGTTCATTTTATGAATGGAAATTCAATATTATTTCATAAAACAGCATGGAATTATAGGAAGCCTTCAAACTGTTGTTTTTCTTTTAAATGTAAGTAATGACAGCTGCAGTTCATAATAATTATAATTTTACTGCAGTTGTGCAGGAATGAACAATGATGAAAGTTCTGACAAATTGAATTCTCATTGCACTATCCACATTTTTCTCTCAACGAATTTTACGTCTCAAATTATATTTTGACTTGTATATTTGATAAACAAGTGTTTCTACGAATTTATCAGATAGCCTGGAATGTAGATGGTTCCCTTGAACATAAAAAAAGTTTATTTTACTTCATCTGATGAAAAACACTTTGATTTGGCACCTTCAACAGTGTGATTATTCTGATTCCTCTCAGTTATTGGAACTAAAGTATTAATGGATATACTTTATTAATAAAAAAATTTTGTTCCAATACTCCAATACTTTAATAAAAAATGTCCACGTATTTCATACTTAGTAGATTGATCGGTTTGAATTATTTTTTTGTTGGAAATTTTCTACTGAAAAAAATTCATAAGATTGTAATTCAGGAAAATCAAGAAATTGAATGATTTTTATTCTATTGGCTCCTGACATAAAAATATCCGTATACTTGAAGGATATTCCTCAAAATATCATGTACGGGGTAGGCCAAATTGGTAACTTCTTGGGGAAGTCCAATTTTCAGAATGGACTGCTGCATATTGATATTTATAATCATTTCACAGTCAACAATGGATTTATTGAATATTTGCATTTTTTTCAATATCTGAAACTCATTTTGTGAAAGAAATTCTTCGTTTTCAAGCAAATATTCTCAAAGTATCAAGATAACCCTGCGGCAAAAAAATTTTTGCAAAAAAATATAGTTTTGTGCCTCTTCACAAATGCACATTTTCTAAAAACACCTCTTTGAAATGAGGTTTTCACCATTGACTTCATTATAAGAAGACAGTAGTTTCTTGATTTATATTACCTAACATCTGATAGAGGTCTTTTCCAGTAAATTTTGAAAACCACATGAATCGTTCAATCCACCTAAAAATACAACGGTGGTTATACAGGGTGATTCAGGTTTTAAGGCACAAACTGAAATGGAAGATAGAAATTATCATTTTAATCAAAACAGTTTATATAAACATTAGTCCGATCTCGTTCAGAGCTGTATTATTTTCTTCTAATTGTTGAAATATCTCGCTTTTCAAAAAAAAAAGTATCTGGAAATGATTGAATTTTTGGCATGTTGTAGATAGGGATGAACTGATGAAAAAATCCAATTGACCTAACCTCCAAAAATTGACAGTTTTCTCGATATTGACCTCCAAATGTATTTTTTTCAAGAAAAAAATCGCTGAAAATCGCTGAATTTCTGGTATGTTGTAGATAGGAATGAACTGATGAAAAAATCTAATTGACCTAGCCTCCAAAAATTGACAGTTTTTTCGACATTGACCTCCAAATCTGATTTTTTCGACGAGAAATAATCTATGAGAATGGCTGGATTAAGTAGGTATGTTGTAGATATGAATGAACTGATGAAAAAATCTCATTGACCTAAACTCAAAAAATTTACAGTTTTACTGCTACCATAGATCTAAATACACCTGCTACTGACCCCTAAATGGTATTCAAACAACTGTATGAAAGTTGTTATTGTACCTGTAGGTCGGGCACGCGGACACCGTGTGGACACCATTTTATAGTTTTTAGGTTATGCACGTCATTACCAAACGTGAGATAACCCGCATTGTCCCTTATGGATAGAGTGTTGGATGCTTCATCGGTCTCAACAAGTAGATACAAATGTTTAAAAATACCATCTGAAGGCTTTCTAAGAGAATACGAGAGACCAAGCATTATGATTGATTTTTTTTTGATGATATGATTGTTGAAACTTTTTCCAAAGATCATAGAGTATTTTCAAATAAGTCAGTTAAAGCCCTTCTAGCAAGGAATTTCGCGCCACGTATGTTTTTTGTTGAAGCTACTCTAATGGGAAAATATTTCATTTTCATTCATTATTTTGAAGAACTAACCCAAACTTGTTCACTTGTTCACTTATCCCAAACCGTTGTCTCTTCAGATCTCTGTACTTATAAATGATTATTGAAATTCACCATATTTCATAACATGGCAATCACGAGGCAAAGCGTGTACATATTGTAAATAACTATTGGAATTCATGATATTTCATAACATGAAAATCGCGAGACAAAGCGTGACGTCATATACTGCGATCAATCTATTGCAAATATTTCATTTTATTCCATAATTTTGAAAAGCAAACCCAAACTTGTTCACTGTCGCAAACCGTTTTCTCTTCAGATCTCTGTACATATTGTGAATGATTATTGAAATTCACGATAATTCATAACATAAAAATCGCGGGACAACGCGTGATAACGTAATATATTTGTTTTTGTTGTTGTTTACAGACTAAAATTATCAAAACCATCGCAACTTCCATTGCAGAACCGTTATCTGTGATAATGAACTTGTCAGTACAATTGGGTGAGTTCCCAGATAATCTGAAAGTTGGAGTTGTTACTCCTGTTTATAAAAAGATAGATGTTACCGATATAAATAATTACAGGCCAATTACTGTGTGTTCGGTTATAAGCAAGATAATATATAATAAAATGTTGAATTTCCTTACAAAATATAGAATAATATCCCGTAATCAAAATGGATTTTGTCCTGGAAAATCGACGGAAAGTGCAGCTTATGACCTTTTCGAATATGTGAACACGAAACTAGAAAATAGAAAGTATGTTGGTGTACTTTTCTTCGATCTTTCTAGGGCGCTCGATTCGGTTGATTTTTCTTTGTTGGAAAGCAAACTATACATCCTGGGTTTCAGAGGAACTTTTCTTTCATGGATTGTATCATTCTTGAAGAACCAGAAAATTCTTATCAAAATTGATAATAATTATTCTCATTCACATGACATAGATTTAGGAGTTCCTCAAGGATCTATTTTAGGGCCACTTATCTTTCTGCTCTTCATAAATGATTTACCATATCACTTAGATTCTGATTGTGTCATACTGTATGCGGATGATACTACTATTGCGGTCAGCACTGATACTTCGGAAGAACTCCAAAGTAAACTCAACATAGTCTCAGGGAACTTTACCAACTGGTGCTCAAAAAATCGTCTTATCGTTAATGCGAATAAGACTGTTTGTATGCAGTTCTCCTCAAGACTCAAACTCAATTATCCATTCAGAGTAATGGTAAATGATACCCCTATTGAACTATCAAAATCCACAAAATTTTTAGGAACGTTTGTCGACTCTGATATGAGTTGGACAACACAGATCATGTGAGCAAAAGGATCAATAGTGGATATTATGCTATTCTCCACCTGAAATATGTTTTCACTACATACCAGTTGCTTAATGTGTACTATGCATTAGTTTATTCGCATATGAGCAACAATGTAATATTATGGGGTAACGTAACTAACTCCATTAGAATTCGGATTTCTCAAAAAAGAATTATAAGACTAATTTTCAATCTTGATTACAGGGAAAGCTGTCGACCTATATTTCGAAAGCATAACTTGCTCACTTTTTACTCGATCTATATTTATCACTGTGTAATGTATACGAGAAGAAACCTACACAAGTTTCAAAAAAATTCATATAATAATGATCATTTTAAGTGCAATAGAAATCTCTTGCGTATACCTAGACACCGCACAAGCCTATATGAAAAGAGCCCTTTCTATATGGGGATAAAGTTTTTCAATCATCTGCCCATGTATATAACTATGAATGAAAATCTCAACAACTTCAAGAATGATCTCAAAAATTTTCTCATTCAGGGTTGTTTTTACAATACCTCTGAGTTTTTCAATGCAAATAACTGTGTCGCCTGTTCTGTGTGAAATGTATTATACTCTTTTATCTATTTTTTTTTGTTATATGTTTCAACGTTGATTTATTTGACCTGTCCAATATTACTTTGTAATCTGAAGGATTAATAAATTATTATCATTATTATTATTATCATACCGCGATCAATCCATTGCAATTATACTATACGATACGATTTATGTATTGTGTGTACTTCAGTACACAACACATTTGCCAATTTTATTTAAACACTATGGATTTCCATTGATTAACGGCCGAGTTGATACAAAAATCGAATCATAATTTCAAGACAAAAAAAACTTCCAGGAATGCCAGTTTTAGGGTTGGTTCACTATTCATTTTTGTGCAATTGCCCACTGCATTCACTCCAAAATTTTCTTGGTATAATATTGTTTTTTCATTCTCAAAGTTGCCTACTGCAAGTTTGAATGACATTTGATGATAACATATTGATTTGGTCGAAAGTAACTTTACTGTACTTTACTATAATTTGAGAGGTAAAATTGTATGTTGTACGTTGACATTTATGAGATAGTTGAAAGAGAAGACGACACTGACAAAACACAACTACTTCTATAAAAGCACACACCATTTATACCAGCATAGACTAAACACTAATTATAAATATTCTTTTGTGTTAAATATATATCTCTATATTCTATACAACATTATCGATAACTATAATTATTTTTCAATATAATACAAATGTTCCCTTTACTTTTTGCAACAATATGTATATGTATCAAATTTAGACAATTGTTTTGCGATTTTGGATCCTTTTTGTTTCAACTTGAGGGAAAACTTCAACCCAAACTTTGTATAAAAATGCTGGATTCTGTTGGAACTTACAGACCATATTCAACGCATTTTGATTATATTTAAAAAACATCAATAAAATGACTCGAATAAAACAAATAAAAATATATGATCAACAAATAACCATAATTTTGCACTTACCATGCGATGGGTTTTTTTTCGAAATTTTTATTTGCTACCTACGTATTTTCGTCTGGAAAACACGAATTTTACAAAGAAAATGTGAACAAACTGCTATTTATTAAGATATTTCATGCGAAAGTTCGAAATTTCATCTTCTTTCTCCGCCTGTCTTGGATACGCTTTTAGAATTGCCCTTCATTCATATCATTGAACCCTTTATACAGGGTGTCACAGACTAATGTTCCTTTACTCCTGGAGGTCATTCTGCAGATTAAAAAAAATGTTTGGTCAAATATCTTGGTTATTTATTTGACATTTCCATAATGAAAAGGAATATTCTCAGATAAAATTATGAAAATAAAGAAATAAATAAATAATATAATAAATAAAGATATACACTGATAATTCGCATTTTCTATGTAATGGAAATATCAATTTTTGCTCAGTTTATTCAACAGAAAACAACTACTTTCCTGGCTATATAAGCCATGACAAACATTGAATCATATCTATTGAGCACAGACGATAAGAATTTGAAAACAAAATCTTCTGAAGTTGAGAATTTGCACTCTCCTTCAGATGAAAATATGTATGCTCATTATATCATTCTGAATATTCAACAGAGAACAACTACTTTCCTAGCTATTTGCCACGTTGATAATTGAATTATATCTGTTGAACATCCAAAAGGAGAGCATGAAAAATAAAAATTCTCTGAAATTGAGAATGGACATCCTTTCTCAAATCGGATAAGATAATATGATGTATTATGATATAAAAATATAACTAACAAATATGGTAAACTATAACTTATCAATATGGTAAATTATATCATAATACATCACATTATTTCATCCGATTTGGGAAAAAATGTCAATTCTCAATTTCAGAGGATTTTCATTTTTCATGTTCTCCTTTTGGATGTTCAACAGATATAATTCAATTATCTACGTGGCAAATAGCCAGGAAAGTAGTTGTTTTCTGTTGACTATTCAGAATGATATTATGAGCACATACATATTTTTACATTTTGTTTTCAAATTCTTATCGTGTGGGTTCAATAGATTTAATCGAATTTCAAGGAAAATAGTTGTTTTCTGTTGAATAAACCAAGAAAGAATTGATATTTTCATCACATAAGAAATGCGACTTCCCGATATATTTCTTTATATACAGGGTTATGATAAAGTAATGCACAAAATTCATAAAACGTGCAACGATCACTTTTGAAAAAAATGCAAAAACACGTCAAACGGTTTTTTTATTCCACATCTTTTGACATAAGTTACAAAAATAACACGTCAAAGTTGTCAAAGTTATGACGTCATCAACAATTTTTTTTTAAAGGAAGCTAAGATTTTTATTACATTATGTGATAGAGCTTGTGTTTTTACACAAGGGAAAATAGTTGCAGTAGGGCTCACATAATGTAATGAAAAACTTAGCTTCCCATTAAAAAATTTGTTGATGACGTCATAACTTTGACAACTTTGACGTGTTATTTTTGTAACTTATGTCAAAAGATGCGGAATGAAAAGAACAGTTTGAAGTGTTTTTGCATTTTTTTCAAAAGTGATCGTTGTACGTTTTATGAATTTTGTGCATTACTTTATCATAACCCTGTATATCCATTATTCTCATGTTCATAATTTTATCCGAGAATATTCCTTTTCAATATTTTCACCCAATCAAGGGGTCAAACTTCAACGATGGAAACTTGTTATTTTTACAGACATTTTATCGCAGAATTGTGATCAGGATTTCTCAATTCAGAGTTCCCTGTATGATGAATATCAATTCGTCATACATAAAAAAATGACATTTCCATAATGAAAATCGAGTTGTTCAGACGAAAATACGTGTGGACAAAAGAAATGTTGAAAAGAAACCATCAAATGATAAGTGCAACATTACCCCAATAACAAAATATATTAAAACAAAAAGTGATTTACGTCGGATTCTTCATTATCCTCTTCTGCCTGAAATCGTACACTCTGCGGCAGAAAAACACCATCTCCGGAGAAATTTGCGTTTTGGGCGGTTGCCGATGAGATCTTGGATATGGCTCCGGATTCGGAATGCACGGAGGTGGTTCCTCAATCCCCGCCTCAATCCTCCTATACTCCTTGCGATACCTTATAGAAATTGATATCATGTAGTGAAAAGTATCAGATGACAAGAAAACGTGGGTTTTGACACCTACAGTTCGATCTCACCAGCGAGTTGTGAACATTAGTTTCCCTACTACTCCGACGTTTTAATGATTTCTTCTCGGATTAATTTATTTTCGGAACTTTGGCAACAATGCAAAATCCGATGGGGAAAACCACTGAGGGATGAAATCCATCCAAACCTCTTTCAATCGATAAATCTTGATCTACATTTGAGGTACAATCAATATTATAAGTTAAAGTTGAAGGGAATCGAATCTATTGTGTTTTAATGCTAAGCAATATGCCATCTGACGGCATATATCACGTGATCATCAAGTGTGATTAGTTGGTAGTAGTATTGAAGGTTATAATATAATTATTCATTCGATTGTGTGACTGATTATTATTTGATTATTTGTTTATGCAACCGAATATGGTACACATATCTTTGGAGTCGTTCTGGCATAATTAAAATTCTGACATATCACACTTTGCGTCAAAAACATATCATTTTTGACAGCATAGCGCGAGATAATGAAGGTTAAAATCTCAATAGCGTTTTGAAGTCAGCATATTTATTCCATTTGATATTTCAAGAAGGCAGATATATGATATATGAAGGTGGAGCCGTGACGTATTAGTCCTGAATTGTAGCTATCTCTGTCTGATACCTTGCCATTCTGCAGTATTGCAGTGTGATTGGTCAGCTCAAAGACAATAGGCGTGTTGGGACTAATACGTCAGACCCTCCGAACAACAAATGTCGATCAGACCAGTCACACCAATTAATTGACACCATTTCAAATGGCGCAGGAAGTGTATGATTTGAAATTAACATATTTTAATCTATGTATCTACTGACTGCATCGAAAATTATCGTTTGCTCCCTTATTTAAGGACACAAACCTATCAATTTACTCCCACGGGAGGAAATGAGTTACCATCCGTGGAAGGTAAAATAAATTGGCTTTAGCTTGCTTCCGTGGTAGTTGGTAGAGATATACGTATAAAATCTGTGCCACCCAAGTACCTAATCAGTGTCTCCATCACTACTATAAATCTATAACCTAACAATTCCCTTTTTGAACTCCAATGATCTTATCGAGGATCATATACACTTCCTCATATTCCAAAGTAACTCAATCGAAATTTTAAATAAAATTACAGAAGTGTCAAATTGATTTTCGTTCAGATTCAAATACGGCCAATCATCTGTCAATAATTGTCCATGGCATACTACACTTTTGTAACCTTAGATCATGTAACACATTGATTTGAATCGAGACTCGAGATATAGACCGCTTGAGGCACAATTTCAAGAACGACGCTCTCAAATACAGGTATGCGTTCGTTGATAAAATCATATATATATCTATCTTGGACGCAAAGATTCATTTCCTCCCATGTGTGTTTAATGCCCTCCGCTTCGGGCTTCAAACTTCACACGCGGGAGGACCTTTGCTACCTTGATATATAAATAGCTATTTTTGCATCCTCCTAGTATGAATGAACAAATTCAAAATTATATTTACTGATAGTTTTTTGGTAAAGAGCTCAAGATGATGACGTTTTAAAAAAATCAGTGGTCTCCCCCACAGGATATACATATAGCTAATTTCAGGACATTGGTTGGAATTTATTGAAGATATGTTTATGTATGGAGGGTAATAAAATAGTATACATGAACCAAATATTAAAAAAATAGACCATTGTATAGAGATTTGTAATTGGGTACGGTCATTTCAACACCAGTTACATAATAAAAATATGGATGGACGAAGAGAATAGTGCATTTTGTGCTGCTTCCTCAATATCACTTGGGCAATCTGAACTTGAATCAGCAGTTTTTCACTAATGAAAATATCAAACAAATCTATTCGTGAATTACGCCGGTGAATTGTGACCATATTCTTGTTTGACTGATACTTGAAAGTGGCGGGCGAAGTCAACTTGCCTACGTATTTTGTGTATCTCGTGTTTTACGGGACGAGCGAAGCCTAACTAGCAAAATAACAATCATTCACTAATGAAAGATTCTTCTCACCTGCAGTATTCATTGAATGTCAGCACATAACATTTGTCATCTATGCACGCCACACTATTCGAATCTTTGTGTCTGGAAGCAAACACTTCATCTGGCTGATCACTGAGCAATCTACCTTGCTCAGTGTGTTCGGGTCGGTAGTACCATAGCAGAGACATCATCATTTCACCTGGAGAAGGAAATAGGATCTATGTTAGATTCAATGAGAAACACGTTCTTTCATCTTCATTTTATTTGACAAACCGTTTTCTCCTCAGGGCTCTGTACATTTTTAAAATAATTATTGAGATTCGCGATTTTGACCGTGACACCGTGACTGTACGTCAGTCAGTACACTAACACTAACAAAATGGTCCATCTCCATTGGCTTATTGGCTGGTTTGTAGACAGAGCTAGCGAAACTCAGCAAAATATGGCCGATTTTTCAATACTGTCGGATTCTGCTGGAGTACATTTATCTGCAAGTTACTCAACTATCTAGTAATATCTTTCTTTCTGGAGCAGGAAATTCACTAACTCTGATATTCTGAAAGCTTTTAAATCAAAATATTTCAATCCGGCCCTGATGCGACATTTTTTCTTGCATAAACTTCGAATTGTGGCTCATAGCTACCACCCCCTACTGAATAGAATTTCTGTCTTCATTACTCTCACAAGGATGGTTCATTTTGTTAGTGCATTTCTTTAGTGCCCCTCCCCTTGAAATTTCTATCTGTCAATTTCACTCCAAAATATAGTTTTCATGCATCAATTTCATAACCCCCAGGTAGAGTGACTTTATAAATAGAGTAAGGACAATAGTTGTTCACTTTTTGATTAGTCAGTACTTAATATGAAAGTGCATCTACCTGTCTTGATTTCTCCATTTAGTTCTACATACTCTATTTCACTTTATCAATGCTTTGTCTCTGTTTTTTGTTCTTTGGACTCAAAACATCCAACAATCAGACATGAAACTCTATACGTCAGTACCTTGGATATTAACTATTAGAATCCGTCTTTTGGGACTCCTAAGGCCAGATTATTTAGATGATGAAATAAAAATTTCGAATATCTGAACCGAACATCAGGTGGGCACTTCGAAGGCGCAAATTCATTAATGCATGGGAGATACCCTCAAGATTTTTAGCTATTCAGTGACTTGACATTCCGGAAACGGCAGCCATTCGGAGGTCTATTGTCGTCACTCTATTTAATCTACTCACTTCACCCCATGTTTAAAAATCACTGTATAATCAAAGTCAGTACACTACAAGGTCGAAAGTGAATTCTCGCTATGTGGTTATGACATCATTGGTGTTTGAGAAGTATGAATAGCTATATAGCGTTCTTGTTGTTGAAAATAACTAATAACGTATTTATGCTTCCTGAAAAATTAATCTTACCGTCATCTGGATTTTCCCAGAGAGAGGCGATTTTCGCGACAAACGGTAAGTCATTCTTCCTTGGTCCAGCCTTCAGAAGAACACAGTCTCTCGGTAGAATTTTGTCTCCCTCTTCATGTCGCATTGCTGGAAAGCACTTCCTTAGTACTGTCGTCTCGTCGCTCTGAAAATTCAAATAAGATTTTGGTTTTTTTTTCATCTCTTGGAGCGCTCAGAAGGAAATTCCTCGAAAATTCCTATAATGTTGGAAGAATATCATGCGTACCTAGGGAGGATACGGAGATGAGGTAGGTGTTTTGAACTTTTGGAGGTTATAAATTCTTGGGAAAACTTCCATTGGCAAAGAATTCTAGAGCTTTGCCGCTCTATTGATGAACAAGTTTTGAAGGATATGCTGACTGAGCCTGTCGAATTTGTTTGACAGATACAAACGATCTTATTCTTTTTAGGTATGAATAATGATTGAGTAAAAAATCCCAAATCAAAGAAGCTCATCTTAAAATTCTGCTGAATTACAGAGCTTAGGCGAAATTTTAGAAGCATGTTGTTCACATTAAATCTCACATAAAATATAATGATTGGTTTTAAACAGCACCAATGTCAATCATCAATCTAATAAGGAAATTTGATGGTTGTTACACCAATGTGAAAAAAGACAATGGCAAATTGATAGGACATAGTTGCAAATGCATATGAGGAAACTGTTTTCTCATGATAAGGGGCATATAATGACTAGATGTTGAATTCCATGATGCACTATGAACATCTACTTCGAATTTATTTCTTATTCCTTGAATTTCAATAAGCTTTTTTTTGGTCACCAGATCGGATTGAAATATACCCTAAGAAAACCTAAACCTGCCTACTTACTCTATTATCAACTATATTATCAATCATAGTTTATTTCCATTAATATAGTTCTAATAAGGTCCGGTCCTTCTTTTATAAAGATGAATATCACAGAAGAGGTATTTTTTTCCAAATATCTCATGTGAAAGACACCTTGTATACTTGAACTTATACTACTCTTCCTTTGAATTAAAGCAGTCATTTTCAAAGTAGGCGAGTATTAAAAAAACTTGAAATAGGTCCACCATAGAATTGTATTCAAAGAACCAAAACGGCTATTATCAGACACAAAGAAAAGTAACTAGAAATAATATAGATCTCCGAATTGAAAACATATTACTTTCTGGAGACATTTGCAGTTGGAAGGTGAAAATTAAATTAATGGAAATCATAATAACTTTGGTTGTCAATATAAATTAGTCTCAACAAAGTGATTTTTGAAATGGCTAAACAAGAAATACCTTTCAAATGATCAACTTCAACATATTATCTGCAGAAGGAAACATTTCTGAAATTCCCTTTCTTTTCTTTTCAATCTTCAGGAAATTCATGACTCAAGTATTCCAACTCACATTTATGAACACTTTTCCTTCATATGGTTCTCCGTCCCACATCCACCCATTCGACCACCTGGGCAGCACCAACGACCGCCTGGGCACTTTGGTAACCGCCTGCAGCACCACCACCTCTTTGCATTTGGACCTCCTCCTAGTCTTCTTCACTTTGCCAACCCCCACTCCTTTATTCGCACCTTTTTTATTCACCACAACTGTCTCTTTCCCTGATTTCCCGCACTTGTCAGCAGACACTTTCGCGATTTCCGAGGGAATTTCGTTATTATTGTCCTCCTGTGTCCTCACACTGCCCTCACTCACCACACTCTCTATTATCCTTTCCACGTTGTTTCTCGCGAACAGATTGTCCAGCACCAGGGGAGCCGACTTGCAATTGACTTTGGACTTCTTGGTCTTCTTCTTCGCTACTTCGCTGGCGTCTTCATTTTGTTTCAACTTGAAGGCGAAGTTGCTCAGGCCTAATGGCTTCGAGAGTCGCAGCCGCTTGAAGGTTTCCCCCTTGCTGGCGCTCGATTTTCTCCGTTTGTTGCCCTTCCGCACCTTAGAATAGAATAGAATGGAATAGAAAATGACTCCATTGTGTTATTATTTCAAAAAAATCTCATCGCTCATGGAATGTGAAATTTCAAGCGATGTTCCAACGTAAAGTAATGGAAGTTTTATGTTGGTAACACTGAACATTAGTAGAAATAGAGAAGAAGAAAATTCTAACCTTTTTAATATTGAGGTTAATAATATATGATCATCAACATAAAATTGTAATAATTTTAGGTTGGAACACTGAATACAAGATGGGGAAGACATATTTTCTCTCTCTCGAAGCTGAACTTTTCTATAAGATTTCTAGCAGACTTATTTCAAGGTAGTTTCTACTTCATCAAGTTGTTCATTTCGACTTTGGCTTTAACTGAATTAGTACCAATTATTAGAAAGCTACTTTTTTAGCATTTAGAGTTAGCTCATTATCCTTATACCACTAAAATATTCTGGATAAATGATCATTTACATCTTCTAGAGATTGACATGCTCTTGATGGCTCAAATGAATCGGAAATCATCAGCGTAGAACTGTCTAGAGCATTGAGTAATTGAGCTCTAAACAATGTTGGACCCAACTACCTTGCGGCACACCGTATAAACTGATAGCTGGGTTTCTACAATTTGAATCCTTCCTGTCAGATAGCTTCTAAACCATTAACAAACGGGTTCAGAGAAGCCATAGTATCCCAATGTTGCTCCCCATACGGAAGTCAATATTCAGATCAAATGCTTTACTACAGTTAAGACCAAACATGTTGCTTCTGATCTATCCATTGCACCTGTGATTTCACATGTGACTTTACTTAGAGCAGTTGTGGTAGTATAACCGGCTCTGGAATCTGATTGCCTGAGTGATGGTGAATTCTCGTATATTTCAGCTGTTTGAACGCAGTATATCTATATATCTACATCTAATCTACATAGATTATGCCTATGATTTTTCAATTGGTTTTGCATATTATTATCGATTGGGACTGCTAGGCTGCTCACATTGAGAGGGGTGAGAAATAGAATGCACACTCAACTGATTGAATGTTTACCTTGGTTCTCCTTCTCAGCGCATGGTCGCCGATCAACTTTTGTTTGCCGTTGTGAATCTTGATGCCGCTCATCTCCCTCTTTATCAGACACTTGTAGCTACCGAGCTTCTGTTTCTTCTTGGGAGAAGGGGTGACTTCAGGATCAGGTACTTTGTCTTTCGACATGGAGAGGCTGCGTTTCATGTTCTTCACTTTCACGTTCTCCGCTACGGTGCTCACGACAGGCGGCAAAACTTGTTCCGGCTCTACTTCTTCCTCCTTCTCTGTTTCCTTCTCCGTCACCACCTGTTGGTCTTCCAGTTCCACAGGTGGCGCAACAGGTAGAGGATCCTCCTTCTTGATCTCCTCTTCCGGGGGCGACGGCTTGGTTTCTTCGTCCGAAGAGCACGCCTCCTTCTTCTCTTCCATGACATCTTTCTCCTTTGGGCTTTCTATCTCCCTCTTCACGTAGTTCTGGTTGGGGTTGCACATCAGAAGCATGGTGTTCCGTTGCATATTGGCAGCTGCTATGTGACTCCTGACCATGGCCTTGCCGACTCTGGCTTTCCTCTTCTTGCACTCCTCCTGCCCTAGAGGTACCTGAGATTCCTGCTTCGGAGGGGGTTGGTAGGTGGCCCCAGCTGGAGATGGAGGGGGCGGCATGCCAGCGGAGCCCCTGGCGGGGCTAGGAGGCCCCGGGGTGGCCGGCTCCAGGGGCAGGGCTAAGGCTACGGGCGGTAACGGTATCGAGTCTTTGGAGATGGAGGTTATGCTAGACCTCTTACTCTCACCAGTAAGAGGTCCAGTAAGTACGTTTTTTGGACACGATTGCATTGGACAAGGACAGCTCTGATATGTGGCATCTGGAATAGAAGAAAATGAGATATACAGTGCGTCCATAAAGTAACGCATAAATTCATTATTAGCTAAATGAATAAAATTAGAAATACCCGAAGCAGGTCAATTTTTTATTTCAATTTACTATTGTTTCAAATCATAATCTAATATACAGGGTGAACCACTTTCGTGTAATGACGTCATCACCATTCTGGCATTGTGAGAAATACAATTATTGGTCCATATTTTTTCCATGAAAACTTAACAGGAGCATTATATCTGGATTTCCTATCAAATACATCAATTCCTGATCTGATCCAGCTTTTTCCTAATATTATATGAATACCGAGATGAATACCCACTAACTCGCAGTAACTGTGCGCGATTTTTCAAACACAATTCTTCCACAAAGGTGGATAGGAAGAAGGGGACCAGTAGAATGGCCTGCTAGATCACCTGATCTGAGCCCATTAGACTTGTTTTTATGGGGTTATTCAAAATCTGAAGTCTACTTATACAGACCTGGAAATATCCCTCAACTACAAAACCGAATTTGACAAGAAATACTGAACATAACACCCGCTATGATACAGAATGTTAGAGACGAAAGTAATGCCCGGTTCAGTCATTGTCTAACGGTCAATGGAGAACAATTTGAACATTGATTGTAAATTTTCGTTGGTTTGTTTGTTTTTGAAAGTGTATCACATTAATTGCATAACTACGTAATTCCATTTAATTTTTATATTACATTCAGTAACGGATTACTTTCCATAAACAATTTACATATTTTTTTTTTACATTTTTGCCCACCCTGTACCATGAAGCAACAGCAACATAAATATACATTTTTGGAATCGGAAATTGAAAAAGAATGGTGATGACATCATTACACGAAAGTGGTTCACCCTGTATATTAGATCATGATTAGAAACAATAGCAAATTGAAATCCAAAATCCTGTTTCGAGAAATTCTAATTTAATTGTTCATTTAGCCAATAATAAATGTATGCGTTACTTTATGGACTCACTGTATTATGATTATAATGACACAACCGTTTTGGCACAATCAAATGATAATCATCTAGTATTGAATATTATAAATATGAATTTTTGTCTGTGTATTTTGAAACTGGTTTTAATCTTCTCCTGAAGATGCTAACATAGTTAGCGAAACACGTGTCGAGTGTGTTCGTGGATCTACCTAATATTTGATAACTTCAGCACGATTATTTGAAATTGAAAAAACTAAATTGAGATGATATATTGCTCAATAATAAAACAGTTGTGATGAGGAATATTCAGAAGGGAATTAAGTATAAGGTCAGAAATTGGAAAAATGATGACTCGAAAAAAAATGAATACAATTAATATATAATCACAAATAGTACAATTGGGTACTAGAAGAGAATATGGTCAGAAAATGGCACCACAGTGTCAAGATTTTTAGATACTTAGCTCAAATTCAATTTACTGATATACTATTCGAGAATTATTGAATAGTTAAATATTTCAGCGTTTTAATAATCTCATTGGTGATTGAAGCACATTTTACAGCGTTGCCATTTTTATCTCTCTCCAATTATCTGTAACTTCAGAAATATGTATGATTGTGAACAAACAGTATTTTATAAATGAACTGTTATGTCTACCCTCTTTTCATAATTATGTCTATCTTAGGAATAGGAAGAATATAAAAAAATTTCAAAACACTCACTTATGTACGGTATGGCCCTCGAAGGCGAATGCGAATAGCACGTCGGGCCGTAAGCGGGCGGGTAATAATGCGCAGGCGGCGGCTGATATCCCTCCACCGTCCCCTGATACGCCTCTATCACTGCCCCCGGAGGCGGGCCACCTCCCGCGGGGGGCGGGTACGTCCCAGACCCCGCCGCCACCATCTGCTGCTGCGGAGGATACGCCTCTCGAGGGGGCGGGGCCACAGGGTACGCTTCACGAGGGGGCGGAGCCCCATGGTACGCCTCGCGAGGGGGCGGGCCGGCTGGATACGCCTCCCGAGGGGGCGGTGCCAGAGGGTATGCCTCGCGAGGAGGCGGGGCGCCAGGATACCCGTCCCCTTGGCCCGGGGGCGGGTAGTACCGCCTCGCGTACGGCAGGTACTTGTGCGCGTTGACATACGGGTTGTTGGGGGAGTAGCAGAGGTCGTGGTGGGGATAGGAGGTGGGCGGGGTGGGATAGTGGGGCGGGAGATAGGTGTAGGGGTAGGCCGGGGGAGGGGCAGCGGGGTACTGGTGGTAGCGATAGGCGGGGGAGTGGGAGTGGTGGGCGTTGGAGGGCGGGATGGATGAGGCTGCTGCCGCGGCTGCTGCTGCTGCTGCCGCTGCTTCTTTGGCGGTTGTTACTGATGTTATTATCACCTGGGAAACAAATTCATGACTTTATTTGAAATGTGTCACTTTACACTGGGTGAAAATTGATAATTCTGCTCCCTTGATAGATATGTCAATACTTTTTGAATTTTTAGAAACCTATCAGATGTGAAATTTTGACATTTCAGATTGTATTCAACAATAAAAGATTCATTGCTATTTCATTCAAATTCGGACCCCTTAATGAATGCACGGCACTGGACACTTGTACCAAAGATGACCTCACCCCCCGAAAACGCCGTAGTCAGCGCCTCCTACCTTTACAAAACAATGCAGCCAGTACATTCAGTATCTATTCCCTGTATGATCTAAGGTTGAAATTATCACGCCATTTTAATTTTGAAAGGGTCACTTTGGCGCAAATGCACCACACCTTGCAACACTGCCCGTACATACCTCGCTGTCGGACGAGTCCCCCCCATTCGAGCTGGGCGGGGGTGGGGGCGGCCCCTGGGGCTCGTGTGTCGCCGGAGCCGGCGACGCTGCCGCCGCGGGGGCAGTCTTGGTGGGGGGCGGCGGGGGCGGTTGCCCGTGCCCGTGCGGAACGGTGATGAGAGGGCCGGCTGGCTGGTAGTAACCGGCTGGAAGAGGAAAAAATAAGTGGATTAGTGTTGGTTGGAGTAGGCGATAGCATGACGTTCTTTGTACGTGTAGAAAATAGTAGTTTGTTTTATCTACGACGTGTAGAGGAGGTCAAAATAAGTTGATTGGACCCAATTTATTTAATGAAATTTGGCAATACTGTATTTCAGAGGATTACTTTCCTTTTGGTAATCGAAGAAACCTAAAAGAAATTGTAGAAGGGTTAAAAGCACCCTCACCCCCTAACATTTCACCCCCTAACATTTTTTTCAGAACTTTTCCAGGGATCATAATACGGCTCTGAAATTTGTTGAGCTTGAAGACTAATCAAATTTTGTATACCGCATAGTTTCGAAGAAAAAAAATGTTCTCTCAAATAATGCTACCAGATATTCCCAGTACAAGTTTAATTAAATATATGAAACTTAGTTGGCAGTGAAAACGAAGGCAAGTCGTGATTTTGACAGAAAACAAATTTTTTGTCATTCAAGTTTGTGGTTGACATTGTCTTTAAATGTTTCAATAAATTCTTCAATTTTGTTATTATTACCGCGAGTACCATTACCGACCATTTATTATTATTTAATTGTTGTTGTTATTTCAACTGCTATCAAATATGGATTTCTCTTTAATAATGAACAAACCGATATGATCTTAGTTCTTGGATTCTGTCAAGGTAACTGTCGCAGAAGTGTCCGCGTATATCAAAAGAGATATCCAAACCGGAGAATTCCGAATCATAAAACTTTTGCCCGAATTGAGAGACGTCTTCGAGAAACAGCGATGTTGAAACCAGTCAGAATTAAAGCTGGAAGATCCCGAGTCCAAAGACCTATTACGGAAGAAGCTGTTCTTGAAATAATCAATGACAATCCCGATCACGTTTAAATTTTTCACGGATTGTTCGGGAGCGCAGACTACTCTTGACAACAGATATCACACTAATATTTTCTTTACTGATGAGTCCTGTTTTACACGTCGTGGCATGACGAACCTGCACAACGAGCATGATGATGAAAACCCACATGCCATCAAAGCTAGACACTATCAACGAGAATGCAAAATTAATGTTTGGATCGGATTTATCGAAACATTTTTGGTTGGGCCGATCCGATTGCCAGATCGCCTTGATGGTGCTAGTTACCTTCACTTTCTTCAAGAAATTTTGCCAGATTTGTTAGAGGACTTGCCCTCAATGTTCGTCGAAACATGTTCTTCATCATGCACGACGGTGCAAAACCCCATTTTGCACGGACAGTAAGACACTATTTGAACGAACAATTTCCTAATAGATGGATTGGTAGGGTAAAAGAATCACCTATTCAATGACCTCCGCGGTCTCCAGATTTGAATCCGTGGGACTTCTTCATCTGGGGAGCGTTCAAAACACAAGTGTATGAAGTTCAAATTGATACTTCTGAACAGCTGTGGAACAGAATCCAAAATGCCGTTGACGCACTAAGAGACAACGACGATGTCCTGAGGAGGGTGCATTTCAATTTTTACGTCGAATTGATATTTGTATCAAATGAAAGTGGGAGTCATATCGAACATTTATTATGAAGGAACGTTCTGCTTTTGTTTCTACTGCCAACTAAGTTTTATATCACAATTTAATTAAACTTGTACTAATAGGAATATCTGGTAGCATTATTTGAGAGAACATCTTTTTTCTTCGAAACTATGCAGTATACACAATTTTTAGAGGAGTAATAAAATGAAGATAATTGATGAGTCTTCAGGCTCAAGAAATTTCAGAACCCTATTATGACCCCTAAATGATTCCTTCATCGAAATTAGGAAATTCAAGATGACGGATCCAATATGGCGGACGAGTTTTCTAATTATGATTCGATTCTATTCAAAAATTGGTATCTGGGGAATTTCGGGGTCAGAAATTATGATTCTTTTGTCAAAATTTGGAAACTCGAGATAGCGGAACCAATATACCGAACGAGTTTTCCCGATTATATACAAAGTTGAATGTTGAATCATTCATTGAGTACAATGTCATATAGTATTCATACACAAGAAGAAAAATATACTAGTAAAATTCAAAACTGTTCATGACTATGATACTAGAGGTAATAGGTATATCTTTTTTTACTAGTCAGAAAAGCACAAGATTTAATGCCGCTGCTGGCGTTTCATATAGCCAAGGCGTAGCCGAGGCTGGGAAACCAGCCAAGGCATTGAATCTTCTTTTCCGCAATGTGAAACATATAATGTTTTCTTCAAATTCGTTCCAATTTCACGCAAAATCCAAATAATCATTTCGTGTTCACCCAGAGTCATTCTTAATTTGTATCACCAATTTGATTCAAATTATCACTTGGAACTTTGCTTAGCAACAAACTTTTGCTGCCTAAGGCAGTAAAAGTACACCTTTCATGCCTGTTGAGTTGGAGAAAACGTTCAGTACCTATTCTATAAAGGTATAGCATAATAAATTGAACCAATTCTGGACAATTGTTTTGAACGTCATTTTCCAAAATATTTTTGAGGTCAAACTCCATAAAAATTGTTTTTGATGTTGCCGCCTGACTGCTATTTCACCACCAAAAACAATGGGTAACTGTTTCAGCTGATCGTATTTTATGGGTATGACCCCACAAGATTACTCGTAAAAGTTTTTCAATTTATCTGGTAATTATAGGGAGGTGAAGACTAATGGCTGTTTCCCACGTAATTAACGACAAGTGAAGCGTTTCTTTGTAAGTGGGAAATGTTTTATGGACTTTGAGATCGTGATCTTTCGACCCGGATCCTATATAAAAAACAAAAGGAAATAGTTTTCTGTCGTCAAAATCTATATACTCGATTTTAATCTTCAATTTTTTTTAAATGTATATCAGTTTTCCTGAACCAAGTTTACATGTCTTTGAATTCATGCCAGTATTGGTCGTAGGTTTTCTCCTGGATTTATTTTCAAAATTATCAACGCCACAAAGGAAAAATTTGGGCATTTTAGGACGATGCGAATATAATTATCTCTTTCTGACGTTACTAATTTTGAATCTGTGCCAATTTCGGCTCTACTAGTTCTGGCAAATTTTCTATTTTCGTTTTCTGAATTTGTTAGGTTCATACCGAGTGTAACATGATCATGATATTTATGATCATTTATATATTTGGCTAAGTGATATGGAATGGTTGAAGCAGAGATTAACCGATCTTTCTAGAAATAATTCACATGCTTGAAGAGGCAACGCATGCGCATAAAAACTCGGTTCTGGTGCAAGAAAGGGCGTCGATAAGAGGAGGGGTGATGGGGGTAATTACCTTCCCCCTCCAAGAATAATAGCAAAATAAATAGTACCTAAATCATTAAATTTTTAATAATAATAGACGTTTATGGCTGTTTGAATGATTCGATTGTCCAAAGAAGTTCAGTTTTGTTTCTAATTCTCGATATACCGGGCGAAACAGGGTATCGGGCCCCCCTGTAACTTCTGCATTAATATAAACGGAATTTTCTGGTAATTGCTACAGTTATACAGGGTAACTCACGGTCGATGGTACGTTAGACGTTTATGGAGAACGGGACATAGGATCATTCTGAAATTTTGGTTACTCACGTAGTTGCTCTTGGTCTATCGATCTAAATTATATTCAGCTCTGCAGCGTTGCCGCCTCTATCGAAAAGTAGCAACAACTTTGTTATTTTGAATGGAACACCCTGTATTTTATTGCATTTTCAGATTCTCGCTGAAGAGCTGATTTCATCGATGTATCACACTTGGGGTCTAGCGGAAATGATTACAGAGATAAAGGGTGTGAAAAATCGACATTTTTCAACTTTAGGAATTTTTTTTGTCGAAACTATTCATTATTGGTCAAAACGGCTCACATGTCCCTATCTCAACTTTTGATCAACTATCTACTGACATTTATTTGACCTAGAGTTCCCAGAAAGAAAGACGAACTGCATTGTCGACCTAAATTCCTAACGTCACCTCCATCTTTAAATTCTTGTTTCATCTAGTCAAGATGTGAATATTCAAAGATATTCTTCTTGTTATCTGATTCGTCAGTTGTGTGTTGTATTCTTTACTATCTGCACTCTGCAGTAAGTATTCAGTCCACAAAATTCACTGGAGTCTAGGGCGAGCACCTCCTGAGGAAGCGAACCTTTTTCATATTCATATTGAAATGACAATCAGAAATTCTTGCACTTGTCTTACAGACAAGAAGAGTAGATACTTATGTCGAATTTTTTCCCGCGTTTGTCATGTTACGAAATATCGTGAATTTCAGTTATATTATTTAAAAAATGTACAGAGCTCTGAGGAAAACTACGGTTTGCGACAGTGAAGTGAACTAGTTAGGGTTAGTACTTCGAAATAATGTAATCACATTTTTCACTGAAACAGGGCCATTCAGAATTTTCATATTTCAAAGAGATTTCTCCAAAAAATTTCGATTCTCAATTGACCATCGTTTCTCATTGCTTTCGTAGAATCCGGATCAGATTCGTATGAATAATAACGAACAAAATACGACGGATCACATACGTTATCCGGTAGCCGCACAAACGAAACAAAATGAACACGTTCCACTCCGACGAACGTATCATTTCGCATTCAGATTCCGCCTAAGTATTATAAATTGTATTTAGCCGATTTAGCGTTAGCGAGTTGATTCGCGACTTGCACGTGTTCACTGCACGTATTGATAAAATGCGCGGAATGCTCCTGTAATTGTGCATAATCTGACGGTCGATGATGGTATAGACATTGGCGGCGGAAGAGGGGGGAGGCTGGGCAGCCCATCCCATATAAGTAGTAATCCTCTTTATTTCGTGACAACTAGCCTGGGAAAAAATATCGATATATCGCATAACGATATATGATAGAAGATTGGCAATTAATTAGTCTTTTCTAGTAAAATAAACCACCAATTTCTCCAAAAAATACGTTTTTCTCCGATTGGCAGCAAATATTAATTTTGCTGACACATATCAATCAGCAAAGTATTACTTTTCCTGCCTAGGCAGCAAAGTGAGTACT